AATAACTCGAGATAGAAATATCTATTTTGCTGTAGGAAGACCTGACATTACGGCCTTTCTCGATCATCTGTGTGAATGTTCTCAGGCCATTACTTTTGCAAATCCAATTGACTATGAAGTTCATTTGCCTAAGTAGGTATAAACCAAACCAAATTTTCCTGTCGTTGGAAAAATATTGGAATCAAACACCGTACCACTTAAGTTGGCTCAAAAAGGAATGAGCAAGATAATTGAAATCCGCCCATCGGTCACTTGGCTTCAAATCCCATCATGTCCTGGCACCTTCCCTACCCCTCCGACCTGCTTTATTACCCAACCCACAACCAGCTGCCTCCGATCGACTGGCTCTGGCCTCCTGCATGTCCTTCGTGCCCTGTGTTCCACCATCGGGGGCCGCACTTTCAGCCTCTACGCCCTGAAACTCTGGAACACTCTTCCTCTATTGAAAGTATGCCTCCGCCTTGCCCCTCCTTCCCATCTTCAGGTCATGCCTGAAGACCTTCCTCTTCGATCTACAGTGCCTACAGTCCCGTCGCCGTTCCCTATCACGCTCAGCCACTCGAAGACACTACCCTGCTTGAGGGGGCGCTGTACAAATCCAAGCTGTTGTTGCTGCCGTTGTTATTTTTCGCCACCGTAAGCCTCTGAGTTTTGACTGAGTGTTGGAGATTTTGCTGAGGTTTAAGTTGTTTTGAAATGCCTGGATGACAGCTTTGAGCATCTTTAACAATTTAATCTTCTCTGTTTGGACCACCGAGGGCAACACTCGAATTCTAACAACCATCAAGCCGGAGGGACGACTCTACATGAGAAAGCTTTGACTCATTTTACCCAGAGGTTTCGCTCCAGGCAACTAAACAAAATAAAATCTAACTCATCAAAAGGTCATAACTTTAACCAAAAGCAGAGCTGAATATAATAAATAATAAATCGCCAAAGATAAGCGCATGAGAAATAGCATTTAACCATTGTGGTTATTATTTCTATTAACATTAATGCAATGTGTCTCAATTGACCAAAAAAAGCATTTCAACACAGGAATAAACAGCATCAAAAACAGAAAGATTTTATTCTGGTTATTTATTTAGAAGCTTCAGCGGGGTTTTTGATTCCATAAAGTGACAAGCTTTAATGTGTTGCTGCTGAGATATTAATAAGTCATAACCTAAAATTTAAGAAGGCAAAGATACAGACTGACAAGGACAATTTGCTACGAACTGATTAAAAAAAATCTGATTATTTTGAGTGCATTTTAATACAGAAACAGTGGTACGCGTTGCATGAATAAATAAAAATGTAATTCATTGATAGTTATAGATCCTCTCGTTTGGAAAGAAAGAAACACTAATGTCAGATTAAACTTGGTTTTGTGCCCTGCTGTTAACCTACTTTGAGGACACTTAATGCTATCAGGAAGAATGACTGTATTTTGATATTAAAACCTGTAGCTGATTTAAATTTGAATCATTTGCAGATGAATTTAAGGAGGAACCCCAAGGCTGCTGTGCAGACAGATTTTGGGGTAAAGTTCCACCTGGGTCGAGATTTAATCTGTTCACATAGATGGAACATAGAATTTGGCAGATTGTTGGATTCAGTCTTAATTTTAAGATCGGTTTTCTTGAAAGAACCTGCAGACAAATGGCTTCACGATTTAAGGTTATTTAAGAATTTGAGAAAATTCTGTATGCTCTGAAATAATAATAATAATCCTTGCATTTGATGTAACACCTTATCACGTCTTCGAGACGTCTCAAAGTGTCATAGTAAAGTGTAGTGACTGTATATTTTGTGGGCGAAACGCGGCAGCCAATTACGCACAGCAGCGTCCCCACAAACAGCCGTGGATTGAGTGACCAGATTATTATTATTATTATTATTTTTTGAATGCTGCGTGAACAGAGTGAATCTAAACCCAGGTGGAATATGTTCACCATTAGTGTTTGGTAAACGTGAAGGTTCATTTTAATACTGAGAGTACTCAAAGCAAATCCTGCAACCTTGCATTAGTTGAAGACAAGCTGATTGGAGTAATGCTTGGGTAATAATAATAATAATAATAATAATCCCTGTGCCTTTCAGGGGAGCTGTTTTGAGCTGCCTGCTTATTGTCCTTCCAGAGTTCTCGTATAAAATAGTTGGGCAATTTTATATTATAAATAACTGCCTTGGGTTTATTTCCCAGGTAAGATAATCAACTTGTTCATAATGTTAATATTTCCCTCTCTCCCCACTCAATATAAAAGTGATAATTATCAGAAATATTAACGCTGAGTTCAGGCAGTATTCACGTCATCATGTAATCCATTTCAACCCCGGAATACCTGGCTCACTGTTGCAATGGCCTTCAGAAACCTTAGAATGATGAATTGTTCAGATCCAACCTTTCTAAGCAGGTTGTCACTGGGAGCCGTATAAGAAATGAGTCGTAGCAAGGACTCTTATCAAAGATCGTTTTCAGAAAGATGACTTGTCTGACAGAGAGAAAGATGTGAGTCTTGTCTTAAGTTTAGACAATACCGTCTGCTCCCTCCACTCAGCAGCTCCGGCCTTCTCCATGACCCCCGCACGGCCCTGCCTGGCCCTGCCCCACCATCGGCCATCGGGATTTCAGCCTCTCTGCCCCCACCCTTTGGAATTCCAGCCCACATTCCCTTCCATCTCCCTCCCTTTCTACCGCACCTTCAGCCACCCTCCTACCCCCACCCTCCCTTCCGTCCACCCTCCCTGATCCCAACCCCCAGCTCAGGTCCAAATCCCTGACTTGCATGTCCTCTCGACAAGAAAGGCAATACACCAATGTAATTTTGTATTGTATTGTTTAAGTTACTTTCAAGAGCTTTATAGGAAGCAATGATAATTCAGGTTTTGTAGTAAATGATAAGTGCAGTTAAATGTCACAGGGGATCAATAAAAGTTGAGCTCTGCACTCTACGTAATAGCACGTGGAAGCTAAAGTAGATATCTACAGCCCCTTTCATGGAGCTTGAGATGTTCTACATGCTTCAATTTGAACTGTGATTTGGAGAAATTGCACAAGATCGTAACAGGATAACAGCAGATAGACGCTTAATACATAAATGCAAGTTTAAGTGGAGCAATAGAACAAATTAATAAGAAGGGTCATTGAAAATTATGGCTGTGTGACAAGCCACAGATGTACTGAAAAAACAGTTGTCAAAAAAGTATTAAGTGATAGTTTATCTTCCCAAGAAACCCTGCATAATGCTCGTAAGGTATCTGAGGCTAATTGTATGTTCGGGCTCGGTTTAAAATGGCACGTGAACGTTAAGGCAGAGAGAAATAAATTTGGCGGATTGTTTGTGCCTCGGAATGCAAGAACGATTTGAATTCCCCATTACGCTGCCACCTCAAATTGTTGCATTTCAAAATCGCTTTCTTTTATCTGTATTTCTGTAATGAATGAATGGGGGCAGGCCAGAGTTTTAATTAGGCTTCCAGTGTCTGGCCTCATTCAGTTAATCTGCCCGGGCATTGCTGTCCTGATCGATGATGTAAGACAGAGCCTATTCAGCTGAGCGTTGCAATTTCATGACAAATCCTGATTTTAATAACAGTTTAACTTAATAATGGCTGAATTTATGCAGAATAAAGAGTTGACGTGACCCTTAAAGAATTAGCGTATTTGCACTCTGAGCAGACTACAACACATCAATGCGCTATCCTTGGCAGTTCCTTTTAATAATACAGTTGGCGGATAATATTTTTTCGACAGATTAAAAATCCACGTTTGTATCGGTTTTTTTTTAAATAACTTTTTAGCGATGATTTCCATTACAAGAACTTCCAGGTGGTCCGATCACCGGGATGTCACTTCCTGCGCATCGCTGGCCGGTTGACACACTGGAAGTTGACCATTTTGAGCCGAAAAGAGATTAAAAACTGATTTTTTTTTAAAAAAAATTGTGTCGGTGAAGAATTGGTGGAACGGTATTTACTGGTTATCGCTTTCCGACCGATCCCATTTAATAATCAGCATTTATTTTTGTAGAGTATAATTTTTGCAAACGAAGCAATGGGATGAAGTGCTTGTGCTTCCCAAAATGCTGCGGATCATCTGCTCCGAAAGAACGCATCGCACTTAATCTTTACCGCAAACTTTCGTACACTCTGCAGTAATTCACTGCACGCTGCGTTGATCCTATCGTTTCGACTGACACCGACAGTAAAGAACACAAGCAGCCTACACAATACAGTCACTACACTTTACAGCAAATACTGCAATTACTCTGAGATGTCCTCCTGACGTGACATGACGCTATATCAAATGGAACAACAACCACTTGTATTTATACAGCGCCCCCCTCACTCAGGGTCGGGTAAATTGAGATTAAAGAAGCTACTCTCATTGTTGAAGAGCTTATTCACAGAAAGGCTTATGTGAAAAAACATATGGCCATTCAAAATACGCAGAGTAAACTTTGTTCCCTAATCTGCTTTTATAATGTTGAATAAATTAGCGGCAATTAAGTTCTGCTGCTACTAGAATACATCCATCATAAATAATTTAAATAGTTAATAGATATGTCTTGAATAATATACGGTTCATAACTGCTGACAGGAATACCTCAGGTAACACTAACAAGCTTCTTGCAGCACCGGTTACTGGAGTTAAAAGAACTTTTTTTTTTTTAATTTGCACTTTATTTCGCTGCTGGATATTTTCTGTCATTTTATCTCCATGAAATGAAACGTTTGATGTTTTGATGTGAATTAAGATTCAAGACGTGATACTTAATTTACAGGTTTTGTGTGCACTGTGTGCATTAAATCTCTTTTAAGATGATCCATTTTCAGTGTTTCCTATCAAAATGATTGTATATTTGTTTTTTTTAATATATCTTTGTACAGTGTGTGTGTGTATATAATATATATGTCGACCAACCCTTCTGTCTACTCAAAATTCATTTCATGCTTTGAACATTCTCATCCTGAAGTGAAAATGCCTCCAATCATTTGGATGTTTGATTCTCTTTCAGACGGTGGTGTCAAAGCCAGACAGGAAAATCGAGATATAAATCATGCAGCTAACAGAGGTACAGGTGACAATCTCGGTTTCTTTCCATTAATATCTCAATTAAGTAATAATGAACTTCCAACTGTATTGATTAATCCATGGCAGGCTCGAGCGGGGTACGAGACAAAGTCAAATAGCGAGACTTCCTAGACACTTGCATTAACTGCCTGGGTTCATTATTGATGTGCTTCATCTTCAATTAATAAACATCAATAGTAATCCTTGAATTTGATATGGCACCTGCTTGATCATAAACGTCTCAAAGTGCTTCACGTGCACTTTACTGTAAATTGCAGTGTGCACTCATTTGTAGAGGCGCACAACGGCCAATTTGCACACCGCAGTGTCCCACAAAGAGCCACGAAGTGAGTGACCAATTTTATTTGAGGGATTGTTGGCCAGGACACCGGGAGAGAGAGAGAGAGAGAGAGAGAGAGAGAGAAACTACCTCCTCTTTTCGAATAGTGCAATGGGGTTTTTAACATCCACCTGAATCCAACGCGGGGCTCGAATCCGCAAGCCTTCCGTTTCTGAGGCGAGAGAGCTACCAACCGAGCGGGGCTGCCATCTCCAAGTATTAAAGAGAAAATTAACTGATAAGGCAGGATATATAGGCTTTGTGCTTCATACTTTCCTTGGCCAATTTACGCCCGGAAAAAAATTACATAACATGTAAATTGGAACCCAGATTTCAAGCCGAAAATGTTTCGCATTTGAAATGCTTGGTTGCGCAAACAAATGTGAAAGGGGCAAATGGATTTCGAAATTGAAATGCAGCATTTTAATCAATCCCTCAGGGTAATGCAGTGAATTCATTTGTGGGGATATGAATTTGATGTTGAGAACACCATAATAAGGCACAGAACTAATATCAGCATGACAAATAACTTGAAAGGCTTTTCCTCTGAGATGAAATAATCAAATAGTGGTTGCATGATGGCAATAATTATTTTTAGCTACTCTTTTCTTTTTGAGGGGGTAAGACTAAGCCGTTCATTAATTGTGATCCCTTATCCCTTATGTTGTTGTGCGGTTTGGGGACCTAATTAGCATTTTTTTTTTTGCCCCGGTTAACTGTACATCTAATTGCTATGGGAATCTATCTGTTCAGCAATGTCAGATGTATTTGTGGGCACAAGACTTTGCTGTAATCTCATTATAATTTTTTGTTCCAGCTCCCCATTAAAATACATATTACATCCAATTCCATTGAATTTGGGGTATTCCAAACTGGAGTTTTTTTATGGCAGATAAGCAGAGCGAGCACATTGCTGCTTCACTGCTATAAATTGGCCCTGTGCCTTGAGAGATAATAATCCTTTCAAGTGATGTAGTGCCTTTCACACCGGGAGGACGTCTCAAAGCCCTCTAACTGTGGAATGACTGTGCATTTGCAGGTTAAACTTGGCAGCCCAATTTTACACAGCGGAGTCCCACACACACAGCCATGAAACAAATAACCAATTTTATTTAGGGGATTGTTTGCCAGTTCACACCAATTTTATTGAGGGGATTATTGGCCGGTTGGCAAAGAAACTCCCTTCTCTTTTGAGCAATGCCATGAGATCTTTAATGTCCACCTGAACAGGCAAGATGGCTCAGTTGTTCCCACTCTCTCCTGAGTCAGGAGAGCCAACTGAATCGGTTCAAGCCCCACATTAGGACTTTGAGCTCATTATCTAGCTTGATGTGAAAGACACGGTATTGTTTTATATGAACAAGGCAGACGTCATAAGGTTTAGAGTATCACTGAATAATTTAGTGCGATTACAGTGTGCCACTGTTTGGTGGATAAATTCTGAATAAATGATCAAAGGCCATTTGATCATTAACCTTTGTATCATTGGCCAACGACAATGCCAGTCAGCAATTGCTTCATTAACACTCCGTGAAGCGTAGGAAATTATTGTAGGGACTTTTCGGCCATTGAACTGAGCTACAGTATAATCCCGTTTTGATGTGTTGATTTTCTTATTTGCTGATGTCACTAAATGGAGACGGCAATTTGCTAAATTCAGTAACTATCAGTTAAGTGCCACTTTTGGATTTGTGGCCCTTTTCAGTTAAATGTGTTTTGGGGTTTCAGCTGAAGGATAGGATAGATTTAATATTAATAATCCTTACATTTAATTTACCACCTTACCTTCGAGACGTCTCAAAGTGCTTCACAAAATATACTGTAAAGTGAATCGACGATATTTTGTGGGCAAATCATGGCAGTCAATGGCGCACAGTGGGTCCCACGAACAGTCATGGATTGAATAACTTATTATTATAATAAATCTTATTAACCTGATTCAAAGGGTTCCGTTCATGACACACTTGAACACAGACATCTGAATTCTCTCTAAGTCTGTAATTAGCTGATCATAGTGAGGTTTCTCAGTTGCAAAAAAATTTATTCTCGTTGAAAAGATAAAAGTGGCACTTTGTTGGGGAGGAATTTTACGGTTAGCCTAATCTATGCATCATTGATTTTTGGCTTTGCGTATAAAACTGGTTAGCCTCAGTATATTACACCGTCATCATTTAGATTAAAAAACATCACCAACCATGAAGTCAGTGAGCTAGAAACTCCATCAGGTTTGTCTGACTCGTGTTTTTGTCTCGTGTCTAATAGCTTTATCAGCCATTACTATTGGAAACGTAAGATCCTTTTCTCGAGACTCTACATTGCCCTAGACTCTGCCCCACGTCAAGAGCACTCTATAAATACAAGTTGATGTTGTTGCCCGAGTCTGTCCCGAAACATTAGTGGAGGTTAATGTCAGTGTTGGCTTTGGAAACCCTTTTTCTCTCACTTACTTGGTACAAGTGCAGTCCTGTTCCTTGGATGTGCCGATCATTAACTGAGGGATGAATGATGCTGTATATTGGTGCTAAAAATGTTGCTGTGACCGGTCACAATGCAGTGCAGCAATAGTGCAAACTGTTGATACACTCTATTGGGACCCATTATAATGCAGGGCCTCATTTTATGCTGCTTTATAATAGGTGTTTATTACTACAACTACTACAACAACAACAAATTATATTTGTACAGCGCCTTTCACATCAGGATGACGTCCCAAGGCGCTGGACAGTCAGGGATCTGCACCCGAGCTGCGGGGGATTGGGATCAGGAGGGGTGGAGGGCGGAGAGAGTGTGGGTGATCAAAGGCACGATCGAAGAGGAGGGTCTTGAGACAGGTATTGAAGGATCGAGGGAGGGGGCGGGTAACATTTTACTATATTAAATCTATATCCAGGCAGGGCGAAACCTTGGGCAAGTTTCCTTACTCCACACAGCCCTAATAATAATCCCTCCAAAACCAAAAACAATAATAAATTGGTCATTTTCAATCCACGACTGTTTGTGGGACATTGCTGTGCGCAATTGGCTGCCGCGTTCGCCCACAAATATACAGTCAATTCACTTTACAGTGTGTTCTGTGAAGCGCTTTGGGACGTCCTCCCGACGTGAAAAGCGCTATATCAAATGCAAGGATTATTTTTATTATTATACGAACCTTCAGTGATCATTATATGATGCGGGTACAGAGTGGCATTTTGCTGGCAGTGCCAGTGTTACAATGATTTTGCCTCTGACGGGATCAACAGAAGCAGTTATTGCCGGGGCCCAGGGAGTGGGCAGAGTGTTGGTCCTGGCTGCCACCTGGTCTTCAGGAAGCGACCGACATCCGGGACATCCGATGGAACTAACAATGATCTCAGCGCGTCCTGCATTGCCCACCCGAAACTCACAAATGTTGGTCTAAAAGTTATCGCAGATAAGAGGCAGGTTGCATAAGACCAGGACAGTGCATCACGACTGAGTGCTCTTCAATTGCAGTTACCATCTGGCACAATTTCCACTCAGAAGCTTCACCTCAGGCAGTGCTGGTGGTTGCTCTTACTGAGAATCATTTCAATGTCACAACTGAATTTCTCCGTAAAGTGACAGCTGACCGTTAACGCCGTAAGCAAGTTATCGAAAGCTGTTTTTTTTAATATATAAACATATTTAAGATAAATCCACAATATTTGCGTATATATATTATGGATTTATCTTAAAACGAATGTGTCAAAGTTCAGATGATACAGTCGCACCACAGGTTAAAGCGTTACGAAATGAATGCAGTCTTGACCCCTGATGTAATGGGATGGTTTCGATCCATAAAGTTCAAAGTTGGCAAAATAAAAAATGGCTGTCGGGGTCCATTTCCAGGTGATCAGATCACTGATGACATCACTTCCACTTCCCTGCTCAGATCCAACAATGCCAGAAGCCGGCCAGTCAACAGCGCAAGTATAAGAACATAAGGGTTTGCTAGACCAGAGAAGACCGAGGTCCATCTAGTTCGCCTTCCACCATCCTGGCAGGCGCTTGACACGTCGTGTCCCCAACTATACACTATTATTTTCCAGCAGAAATCGATCTTATTTTGTTCTTAAAACAAACGACGCTTTCTGCTTCCGACGCCTGTCTCCCGAGGGGAGTCTGTTCCATAAAGCTACTGCTCGCTCACTGAAGTAGCGTTTCCCCAGATTTGTTCTGAATTCAACCCCCCCTTCAATCGCAGGGTGACCGAAGGCACGGTATTGACCAATTTCGACCAGGATTCCCAATCGCCCATCACCGACCAGTGATGGCTGTTGGAGAATGCGTAATGTGTGGGCATCAGGTGACGATAAAATCAGGTTCAGTTGTGATCCCCTCCCCCTCTAACTGCTAAATAGCCTCTAAATCTCATTACACAGCCTTACGCTGCAACCTGTGAAATCAAATTGCAAGATCCATCCTAACCTCTACCCAACGAAGCAGAGCTGTGACTGCCCGTAGCCCTCACTTAATATAACGACGAGATTCAACACAGCCACTGAACACTAGTTGTCCTCGCACCTTGTCACCTTTTCGTTTCATTCCAATTACACACACATTATAGAGTTGGAAGGAAAGTTTCAATCGAAGTTTCTTCACAGCTATTAGGGCCTGGGGAGAGCACACAGCAGTTTTTTTTTCTCTCTTTCGTTTTTCTCCTTTGCGGTTTCCTGAAGGTGTTGTGTCTCGCCGGGAAAGTCTTGTCGGTTTTGATAGTTATCTTTTCACTGTGCTGTTCACAGCTTTCTGCAAAGTAATGTTCCAAAGCCTTGTTCTGCTGAAGGTATACATATGGAATCAGGGGCAGGTTTTCACCCAAAGGGGAATGAAAATTTGGAACTCTCTCTCTCCCAAAAGGCTGTGGATTATGGCTGTGGATCCATTCACATTTTCGAGACTGAGGTGGAGAGATGTTTGTTAGGGTCAGGGGATCAAGGATATGGGGCAAAGGCGGGCAATTGGAGTTGAGGTACAGATCATCCATGATCTTATAGAATGGCGGAACAGGCTCGAGGGTCCGAATGGCCTCCTCCTGTTTCTATGTTTCTGACTCCCAAGAGACACCAGCAATTTAAAGGTGAAAATAATCGACCAGAACATAAGGTTCATCAGAGCATCTTAACTTGTTAAGGTATTCTCCGCACTTTTCTTTACTTGTCAGCCCTCAGGGAGGAAAATAAATAATTTTATACTTTTCCTCATTTCAGAGACGAGTTAATGAATCACATTGTGTTTGTGTGAACGATTTCTCGATGATTTCTGTGTAACTTTACAACGAACAAGGTCAGCCCCTGTGCAACAACCTCAGTTTCCCTCTCAGATGCTGGTTGACTCGCTGTGGAAGCCGTTGCAATAATAATAATAATAATAACAATAATCCTTGCATTTGATATAGCGCCTCATCAGGTTTTCGAGACTCTCAAAGCACTTCACAGAATATACTGTAAAGTGAATTGACTATATATTTGTGGGTGAAACGCGGCAGTTAATTGCACACAGCAGCGTCCCCACAAACAGTCGTGGATTGAGTGACCAATTTATTAGACCAATTTATTAGTTTTTGAAGGAATTATTACCCCGGAAAAGCGATCCGCCCATCAACTAACAACCGGGTTCCTACTCACTGCTGGTAAACAGAGGCGTGTGGTGTAAGGAAACTTTCCTAACATTTCACCCTGCCCGGGAACTGAATCCAGGTCCTCTCGTTCGTGAGGCGAGTGCTCTAACTGTGGAGCTACAAGACTCCATTTTGCCATGTTATTAGGTGAATTGTCAACGTGTACACTTACCTGTGTTGTGTCCACCTGTTATTTGGCAGTGTGCAGTGAAAAGGATCTGAGGAATCTCGCCTCTAGACTCAAAGATTGGTTTGGTGCTCTTCATGCTGATGCCAACCATGACCTCAGAGTGAGACCGGCCAAGCAAACAGACCAAACCAGTAAGTATCAATAGCTCATTACATTTTATATGTGTATACAGCACCTTTCACATCAGGAGGACGTCTCAAAGCTCTTTAAGATGGCTGGTTGGCTGGTTGAGCACTGCGGCCAGGAGGTGGGACCTGAAGAGTGGTGGGGAGAGAAAGATAATAATAATCCTTGCATTTGATATAACGCCTTATCACGTCGTTGAGACGTCTCAAAGCGCTTCACGGGATGGCCTGTAAAGTGAATTGACCGACTGTGCAATTGACCAAAAGTGCAGTCCAAGAATTAAGTCTCGAGGTGGACTTTGAAAGTACAGCTCATCTACGCAGATGTCGGTGGGACAGTGAGAGTAAAAAAAACATGGAGCTCGGTTAAGGACCTAACGTTCTGAAAAGTAAAAGAGCTCACACGCAGAATGATGCTGGTAGGACTCCAAGAGGAACAAATCACTTACCACAAGAATGGCGCCACCTGCTGGAATTCGTTAAAGTATTCTTGAAATAAAATGAGGAAACCTGTAAGGAATACCGCAAATTTGACCGCCGTGTGGTTCTGCTGAGCAGCTGCGTTAAATGAATTTAAGAGTTGAATTAACCTTAACCACACAAGTACTGGTACTTGAAAAAAAATCTTAGCATTACCTTTGGAATTAATCAAATGATGTAGTGTGTCAGAAATGATTGCGAAATTGGTGCTTGCCTAAATGAAGCTTTTGTAGACAAAAAAATGATAATTTAATATCTTCTGAACTGCCTCTAATGAAGACATGCAAAGGTTTTGCTACGAGCATTCAGAACACCTGGAATTGTAATTTAGTTTATCACATAATTGGTTTTAGACTGCAAGATAAAATGTTTCAGAATAATTATAATCATCTTTGCATTTGATAGAGTGTCTTATCACATCATCAAGATGTCTCAAGCGCTTCGCAAGACTTACGATAAAGTGTGGTGAGTGTGTATTCTGGTAGGCAAACACAGCAGCCAATTTTGCATTCATCGGTGTCCTACAAACAGCCAAGACATGACTGGCCAATTTATTAGAATAATAATAATAAACCTTGCTTTTGGAATAGAGCCTTATCACGTCTTCGAGATGTCTCAAAGCGCTTCACAGAATATACTGTAAAGTGAATCGACTGTATATTTTGTAGGTGAAACGCGGCAGCCAATTGTGCACAGCAGCGTCCCCACAAACAGTTGCTTTGTTGGCCAGGACACTGGGAGAAACTCCTTTTTCTTTTTGAATAGTGCCGTGGGATTGCTATCCTCGGTTTGGCATCTCATCTGATGGAAAGCACAATGCTTGAATCCATAACCTTCTGACTCAGAGGCAAGAGTGCCACCAACTGAGCTACCAATTGAGCCAGGCTGTACCTGAATATTATTTCCATTAGCACCACATTAATCTCCTGAATTCAGGCCTTTCTCTGTATCTTGGACATTTAACATTCTCCTTTTTCAATCAAGATCCGTCTCAAGACCTACCTCTGTCATCTTTGTCCTCACCATCTCCCCTCAGCTCCCAACCCAGGCATGATCTGCCCAGGCAGTACTGCTGAGAACTTTGGGACAACTCCCAATGTAAATTGTTATTTTATTGTACAAAATACACAGTCAATTCACTTTACAGTACATTCTGTGAAGCGCTTTGAGACGTCTCAAAGATGTGATGATATAATGAAAGGATTATTATTATTGAATAAAAATTGCCGTTGTCTGTTTCAGGGTTTGACACCAGTATCCTGCCAATCTGCAAGGATTCTTTGGGTTGGATGTTTAACAAGCTGGACATGAATTATGACCTTCTGCTGGATCAGTCGGAGTTGAGCACCATCTACCTCGATAAGTATGAGCAGTGCATCAAACCTCTCTTCAATTCCTGCGACACCTTCAAAGACGGGAAACTTTCCAACAACGAATGGTGTTACTGCTTTCAGAAGCAGGAAGGTGAGGTGCACCAAATCGGGACTTGGCTCTTGTGTTCCTGTATCCAACACTTGCAGACAGATTTTCCCAGCTCGGATATTCCAGCCACATAAAGGGTCACATCTTGAACCATTTTACTCGCTCAAATGCTGACTGACTGAGTGCCTGACTTACTAACTGACCAACCGACCGACAGACCGACCTACTGTGTATTTTGAGCAATTTTTTGTTCTTATTTCAGATTCTCATAACCAACAGGTTTTCTTTATCTCCTCACATTGACCCTCGTGTACCTCCGTCCCACCATCGGTGGCCGGGCTTTCAGCCGCTGAGCCCTGAACACTTTCCCTCTATCTCTCCGCCTCGCCCCTTCCTTCCCCATCTTCAGGTCATGTCTGAAGACCTTCCTCTTCTCCCGTGCATACGGTCATCTCCCCCCGGCTCAGTGTCGGGCTCCACAGCTGTCAGACGCCCTGGGACGCTGCCCTGCATGAGGGGGCGCTGTGTAAATGCAAGTTGTTGTTGTCGGGCTGTCCTGTGTTTGAAACAGCTTTAGTTTCACATCAAAGAGTTGACCGGCGACGTTTGATTACATTTTATCGAACTTTGCACAGCCTTAACATTGCCCAATCAGCCCTTTGCCCATCATTATAAACACTGACGTGCAATATAATGCAATCAGCACACCACACAATAACAAGGTAACTGTTTTCCTGGTGATTTATGTCTTCATGCAAATCTTCTCCCCAAAAATGATAACATCCGCCACCGTCCGTTGACCTTTCCTAAACGATTGAACATTGTCAGAGAGGTTAAGAGCTTTAAGTTAATTGAAAGCCTTTTTTGTTTGCTGCTTTGTGGAGAGCTATGTCACATTCCGCTTCTCAGGTGTAAAGTGACGCACAGCATATCTGACAGATAGGTCAATCACTCCAGACATCATCTCTGACCATATTGGGACCTGTTTCCCTATTGCATTCTTTTTTTAGGTGTCCCATGCCACGCTGAAATTAATAAGATTCAAAAGCAACGTAGAGGGAAGCTTCTTCTGGGTAAGTAAGCTCTCTGTTTCTTTTCACCCTTTGCCTTGTAATTATTTTCCATCAGAAGATTACACCATTTGATTGATTAAAGTTCACGGATGTGTGGATTAGTAATCTGTAAAAAAAAATGTGAAATGCGTAGACCGCTGATTTCGATGTAATGTTTTGTTATGGTTGCGCTGTGCATTTGCTGAGTGGAATGAAATGAACGAAAGCCGAGAAACTGGAACAAGCAATTAATGAAAAGGAACCTTTGTGTGATTGGAAATAGACTAATTATTATCAGTCTATTGTCTGTCCGTGACAGAATTGCAAGTTGTACATGGGCTAAAGCTGTGTTTTCTTATTGGAAATGGCTGCAGCACAGGTTTTGTACAGTGTGTTCTGAATAGGGAAATGCAGTGAAAGGCACCAATTGTTCACAAACCACTTTAAATTGCACCTTCATTTTTGTACTGAAGCTATTGGAAGAGAATACAGACTCCAGGAACACAGGAACATGGGAACAGAAGTAGGCCATTCAGCCCCTTGAGCCTGTTCCGCCATTCTGTAAGATCATGGCCTATCTGTACCCCAACTCCAATCTCTCCAGATCATGTCAAAGTCAGAAACTGGAATGATGATGTGTTTTCAGTGCTGAAGTTGATCAGCTTGATTCACCCCAATCACAGACTTTGTTCACTCAGAAAGGAAGATGCCCTAAATTGGCAATATTTAACTTAAATCAAATAAGTTCTGCATTTGTCGTTACACTGTTAATTACTTATATCTCAGAATGATTGCTATTGTGTTACCTAGAACCTACAGATGTACAGAATAAAGCTACTTGGCCCCTCGTGTCTGTGCTGACTTGTTGAAAGAGCAATCCATTCAGTCCCTGCCTTTTTCCCCATACCTTCCTCTTTAGTTATCCATTTAGTTCCCTCTTAGAGGTTATTCAACATCCTAACAAGTCTCTGTGTGTCAATAAAATTCTCCTCATCTCCTCCTTCGCCCCACTTGTTATCCCTTTAAAATTGAGGCTCTCGTTTCTGACTCACTGACCAGTTGGAATAATTTTTGTTTATGAACTCTATCAGAACCCCTCATAAATTCTAATCTGTGGATGTGTATCATTTTTATATATAGTACTAAGATCGCATGAATTTCGCCAAATATACATATGAAGAAGCGCTATATCAAATGCAAGAATTTTTATTATATTTTTCCTCTCTTTCGGTTTCTAACCGGGGCGATTTGGGGCCAGTTAGTATTGAGGCCTTTTAAGTTTGATGTTCATCATATATATTCATATACATATGAAGAATTTATATAAATATATTAATTCATCATATATTCATATACATATGAAGAAGCGCTCTATCAAATGCAATAATTATTATTATTCATATTATCATTAACAGTCAGATAGAAACATTTATGGGAGGAATAAATGTGGTTTGCAACCTGCAAGTCCAAATTCCAATCACGTAGGATTTGCGTACGGAGTTCATTCGCAACTTTTTGATGCTGATTTTATAACGTGTTGATCACAGTTGCTACCCTGGCTGTGTTTTTTTCCCGTAACATTGCCTTTCGGTTTGAATTAGGTTCTTTTGTGCCAAGATGCAACGAGGAGGGATATTATAAAGCAACTCAGTGCCACGGCAGCACGGGGCAGTGCTGGTGTGTCGACAAATATGGCAACGAGATTGCCGGCTCACGGTTACAAGGGAACCCAACCTGTGGTAAGAGCAACAGCAACAACAACTTGCATTTACACCGCGCCATTCACTCTGGGCGGCGTCTCGGAGCGCTTAACATTGGCGGAGCCCGATGCTGAGCCACGACTGTTTGTGGGGACGCTGCTGTGCGCAATCGGCTGCCACGTTTCACCCACTAAACGTACGGTCAATTGACTTTACAGTCTGTCCTGTGAAGCGCTTTGAGACGTCTTGGAGGCGCGATAGGGCTCTGTATCAAATGTACAGATTATTATAAAACATTAACAAGTGCAAATATGTTTTCCGAGAGCTGACAGGGAGCCCTGAATTGTTAAATACAATGACTTCAGAGGATTATTAGTGATGTTACACTCTCCGCTGTACACTCATACACTTGCACTGTATCCCTCACCTGCGAACTATTGCCCTGCAGCCTCAAGAAATATATCAGAAAGCAAAGGAGGATTCACTGAGAGAATCAATTCCAGGTCATAAGAGGTTAATCTGTACAGAACAGGGGATGGAGTGAGGAAGGACAAGTTGTGATTCCATCTCGGATGTGGTGTTTACACCAGAAACAAATTGCGTAATCACTTCCAGCCTCTGAGACACTTTGATCGGGAAAACAACATCTTTCTTGCTTCTAAGTTCTTGGGGTTTTCAGTTAACCTCGGTGTTATTGTTTCAAACCAATGGGATGTGCCTCATTTATTACAACCTTTTCATTCTTTTATGTATAAAATGACTTATTTTACCCGTTCACTGTTATTCTCCGTACAGTTTTGAGGCGAAGCAGTTTTTCTTTCCAAAAATGCAGATGTAAAAGTAGAAGCCGCAAATGAAAATGTATCTCTGATAAACGAGAGGCTATTTTCTCATTGTCGATGATCTGGAGATTGTATTCACGACAGCGTCAATATTTGATGGATTTTTCCCCGGCAAATCAGGATAGGATTCATGCCTCGTGCGTATCTCCTATTCATCAGCACTTCTCAGAAATATAATACGTTGGGATTAAGAACCTCTTCCTCTGGCAATGAGGATTACTAATACTGAATTATATGATTCAGGATATGAAACCCATTGCAATGTGCACGTGTTCAGTAAATCACAATATCTTCGATAATACGCATTACATTCAAGCAGAATGTGACCAAAATATTGTCTTCCCGTATATTAATGTGATCTACATAAATATGTCAAAAAATAAACAAAATACACAATCACGCCACGTCACAGTGTATCCTGTGAAGTGCTTTGAGACGTCCTCCCGATGTAAAAAAGCACAATATCAAAAAAAACAATAATGATAATAATTCTTGCATTTGATACAGCCCCTCATCATGTCACTGAGACGTCTCACAGTCCTTCGCAGAATATACTGTGAAGTGTAGTGACTGTATGTTTTGTGGGCAAAACGCGGCAGCCATTGCGTACAGCAGGGTCCCACAAACATCTTGGATCGAGTGACCAAATTATTATTATTATTTTTAACGGATTATTATCCTGGAAAGCGATCCGCCAATCGACTAACACCCGGGATCCTACTTACTGCTAGGGAAACTGAGGTGTGTGCACTAAGGAAACCCGCCTAAGGTTTCGCTCTGCAGGAATTGATCCCAGGTTCCCTCACTTGCGAAGCGAGTGCTCTAACCACTGAGCTCCACAGAGTTTTTGGTGTTTTCAAGCTGTGATCTTTCACTTTCAGAAGACGATCAAGAGACATCCGGGGACTTTGGGAGCGGTGGGCTCCACGTTTTATCCGACGACCAGGATGACGAAAGCGAGACTCAAAACAAGGAGGAGAAAGTGGAGGGGAAGGTACAAGAGGGCGTAGACAACGAGGATGATGAAGATAGTGAGGACGACAAAGAAGATGATATTGGTTATGTTTGGTAGTCGTGCTCGCCATGCCCCTTTCAAGGACTGTTAGATTTTTGCATTCTTATCTCAGCTTGTCTGTTGTGCTGCGGAAACGTTACATCTGAAAGAAAAATAGAAAAACAAAAGAAACAAACAAAACAAAAAAAAAAAAGACCTGGTAGATTATAAAGTGTTGATCTCACTGAGACCATTTCATTCATCTGTTGAGCATGATCATCGGCACAAATACATTCAGCAACATGGTTCCTCCAGTAGGAAAGGTGGTGTTTCAGGAACACTGTCCCATTTAACCACAGGATTCTTAGTAATAATGAGCAGTATGGTTGAATTCGTCATTCTGAACCCAGATATTTTAGTGGACCGTATAGAGCACTCTGTGAGCCTCCCAAAACAACTCTGCTACAATAGAGCCCTCTTAATATCCATTAGATTTTGTGTCCAAAACAATGTCCTCCGTGTATCTCAGAGCGCTTTGAGACATCTAAGCAACTTTAAAAGGCACTGCCTCTAATGCAAGGATTATTATTATTATTATTATCTCCACAGATATTCCCAGTCTAATAGACAATGTTGGTGCAGAATCTTTCCGCCACTTTTTGCCGCTCGCTTACTACTTAGTCAATTTTGAAGCAGAACATTCTCGAAAAAGCTGTGCTGTAGATATGTTGGATTAGTTAAGGGTCTGGAGTTCTACACTGGTGTTTGTATGGAATCCTACAAGTGTACAACTTGTGTGTTGATGGCAAGTCAGGAAGGGCCATGTGCGGTTTATGCAGTTTTTATGTGGGTCACGGAACATCAATTCTCTCCCTGTGCTGGATGGCAAAGCTCTTTTATATTAATTTTCATGCATAACCCAGCTGCCGACATACTGCGTTGACTGAGCTGGTCAAGGAACCATTATGTAGCACAAAGCTTTCAAGCCATAAAATCAATTAATCAGTTACTAACAACCACTGTTTGAGCAAGAGTGAAGTATCAAACAGCTATTTCCTTTTGCTTACACTAACTGATCAGAGGTTAGAGGTGACCTCCAACTGCGCTGACATTACTCGATGATTCGATTAATGGACTGTTGCAAACAGATAAGTGCCATAATTTGATAATGAGATGACAATGGGCCTTTAATGAGGTAAAGCATTTGCCGTTAAACAAGATTGACTTTTAGGGAAGTGGTGACGCCTGCCTTCATTGAAGCAGTGAGCATAAGAACAGAAGCACTCGTGGCGAAAGACCAAGGTCTACCTAATTCACCTTCCACCATCCTGGCAGTCGCTTGACATGTCGTGCCCCAAACTATACACTGTATCTCCCAGATATTATTTTCTCACAGAAATCGATCTAATTTGTTCTTGAAACAAACAACATTTTCTGCTTCCACCGTCTGTTTCCCGGGGGAGCCTGTTCCATAAGTTTGCTACCCGCTCCCTGAAGTAGTGTTTCCGCAGATTTGTTCTGAATTTAACTTCCTTCAGTTGCAGGCCATGTCCCCTGGTTCTACGTGATTTATTTTTTAGCCGGGAGTGAGGGGAAGGGTGCAAGAGCTGTGCATAGTTTTTGTCATAAGAACATATATAAGAACATATAAAATGCTGGGCAATAAAAGACTAAAGTCCAACCAGTTCATCTTCCACCTTCCTGGGGGTCGCATGTACATATGTCCCAAATTACCTATGTATGTCATATGACGGACAGTATATGTGAGCACATCACAAACTTGTGAACAAAGGTTCGCTGACCACTTGCACGTGAAGATCTCACTTTCTCTGGGTTTGCACATTACGCCTGTTAACATTGTGTAGCGTCGGCTTTGACAGAGCTGATCTTAAGTGAGCTCCACTGTAGTGCTTTTCAAACACCTCCACATATATAGTATGTAACCACTTTTCTATTAACTGAGAGCGCAGAGAAAATCTCAAATAATAGCAAACCCATGTTGCCTCTCCCCCTTTCCCCCACCCTCCTTTTCTGCACCTTTTCCAGTCTTAGTAAGAATGTGTTTCGGCACTTTTCTATGTTGCGCAGCAGATTGTGGGGCATAGCAGTCTGGGAAAGCCAATAAAGGTCTTTATGTCTTTATTTGAACAGTGCGTCTGTCCAACGGCATGTTAGCTATGTGATGTTTCCTGTTGTGGTCATTATTATGTGTCCTGCAAATTGATATCAAAATATTTGTTCCTTTACTAAATTATTAATTTTGTTTGATTCAGTGTTGGGGAACGGAGGTGTGTGTGTGTGTGTGTGTGTGTGGAGGGGGAGGTGGAAATAACCTTTATTAAGCATAAAGGTGAAGTTCCCTACAGATTGAAAGAGCAGCTTTGGCCTCTGACAATTCTAAGGTGTGTTTAATTGATTAATATAGATTTCAGTGTCAAAGTAAATATCATTTATAGCTTTTAAGAGAACTGAAGTTTTCTTCAATCAACATTAAAACACCAGTTTCCAAAAGTAATAATGCCTTGAGATTTAATACACTCCTCTTCTGAATAGAGTATTAGCATTAGATCCTTTTCAATATCCGGGAATAGAAAACAACACACAAACTTCATCAAATGTTTGAGTTTTGATGTTCGTTTCCTGCTAAATTGGTAGATTTTTAACATAGGGTGAACTCTTCTTTGAGATTGGGATATTTCTCTGTCGTTTAGTCATTAACTCTAACTTCTGGTTCTAAAGGTGAAGCTGTCACAAGTTATTTGTTAGTCGTGTAGTGTAGGTGTAGTTTTCAATTCCCTAATCGAAATCTCCTTTGCTGATTTCAATTACCGTCTGTCAAGCTACAGCAAGAAAGATTAAGGCACCTCGCAAGGCTCGGATTCCACCCCCGGGTGATGCTGTTTCCTTAGCATTTCGGAGTGTCGAGAATTTGGCAATTGTTGAATTCGATCAGAATCAATACATTATTCCTCGCATCTGCCTTTTGCGAGTGTCCAAAGAATTGTCAGAAAAACATTCCCCCTCATATTTGTGAACACATCCTGTTAAAGCTAACTTTCTGGCCAATGCATTTAATTCTTGATCAGTTGGGGGCAGTGAGTGGTGTTCCGTTCAACCTTGAGAGCAAAGGAAGAGCAGAACGTCTGTCTTCGCCTGATGTAAACACATTTCGTGATGAGTAACCGAGTATGACTGTAGCTGCTGTGATGATATCCTTATCTTAATCTCGTGCGGGTCAAGTCTTGTAAGCAAAATGCTCTTCGGGAGTGTGTGTGGGGGACAGGGTGGGGGAGAATGGGAGAAATCTGGGGTCATCGTTGCCGATGGCAATGGTAATGTCCCCCCCCCCCCCTGCGGTGCTGAAAGATGAACTCAATCCACCGGAACAAATCTTTTAGTTTTCTTTCTGATCTGGATTTTCTACTTGTAAAGATTGACTGTCAACCTGAATTGAATCCACTTGTATCTGGGTCTTATTTCTCTCGTCTGCAACTCTACTCCCAGTTCCCTTTCAGTCAGTGCCAGGATTACGACCAACCGGTTTTTAATCAAACTCTTTGTTTTACATATCCTAGATGATAGACATAACTACAGTATGACAATAGATATTTCGCATTCTCTAATCAAACAAGATGATTGTGTGTGCCTTGACTGGCCCTCTGTTTGATGTAACTGATCAACTAATAAGTCTTCTCTTCTCTTGTTTTGTTGTTGTTTGTCTCAATAAATCACAGTCTGTCTATTAGCTTTTTCTGTGGTTAATGCTTACAAATGCCTTTCCTCCAGCTGTCTGACTTGCCGAGGATTTTGTAGGAAATTTGTCTAAAAGATCAAATGAAGAATATAAGTGTTACACAAGGGGAGAGGGGTTTATAGGGTATATTAAGGGAGAAGGAGTGGAGAAATAAGATTACAGAAAATAAAGAGCTGTCATGATGTAATGAAAGGTTGGAGTAGGCTCAATGCACTAAATGACCCCAATTCTGTTCCAACTCTCCTATAATAATATTTAATAATGCTGCAAATTTGATGCCAGGGCATTTGAAGCAGCGTTTCATTTTCAAATAGAAATATAAAGTTGAAAATATGCAAAACTTGGAACAATATTGCTCCATGTGATTGTTATTATAATGTTAGCCTCACCCGGTTATTAAAAAAAAATCATTACTTCAGGCCAGCCAAGGTTGAAGATACCATTTGGAATATGTTCATACACAATACAATTTTAATTAGACTTTATTCTTTTCGAATATCTGTTCACCCTGACGCAACATTCATGTATAAAGCTGGTGTGTAGACCTCATTCTTTAGAAAGATTTTCATCTGATTTTTTTTCTGTCATGTAAGTTTCATACTAATTAATTTCTTTAATTATTCTGTGAATGCATGTGGAGAATGGTTAAAATGTCTTAAAACTAATTAACTGGAAGTAGATGCTTAGGCAAAAGACTGACCGCACGCATAAAGACATCTTTTGATTCATCCAAATATGTAACATTAATAATAATGATCATAATAATAATAATCCTTGCATTGGATATTATGCCTTATCAAAGCGCTTCACAGTAATTACTATTAAATGTAGTAGTTGAAGGCAGATGTCCACCAGATAGCTGAAGAGCACCTGGAATCCACCTTGATTGGTTTGCAGAGAGCTAAGCAACTGGTGGAACCATCGCTCAATGGGAAGGGATGTGTGTCTGAGCTGTGGGCAGGAAGATGGTGGCAATGCTCTCACACATCTCGTGCTGACTGTGTTGCCCACCTGGAAGCTCGGAGGGAGTTCTATTAGATCATGGCTAATCTGTGCCTCAACTCCAATTGCCCCATATCCCTCGATACCCTGACCTCACAAACATCTCTCCACCTCAGTCTTGAAAATGTGAAAAGATCCAGCCATAATCCACAGCCTTTTGGGGGAGAGAGTTCCAGATTTCCACCACCCTTTGCGTGACAAAATGCTTCCTGATTTTACTCCTAAATGGCCAAGCTCTAATTTTACGATTAGTGCCCCCCTTGTTCTAGATTCCCCCACCCACCAAAGGAAATAGTTTCTGTGTCGCTAAGTGAGTTAGGGGTTAAACCCTGTACTGCTACAGTAATTTTTATTCAATACATCCACAGAGTCTTGACACAAGTGTGCCGTGAACAGATAAGAAGCCACATTTGAACTTAACATTATTTAAATGGTAATTCATCACAGCGCTGTGAGACGATAGCGACATTTACCCACTGTGTTATCCATCACCCAGAGGGGAATTGATGTTGTAGATATACTTCCTTTTTTCATTTAATTTCGTTGTCGCCTACTCAGTTTCAGATAGTTCTTAAATAAACCTCCGCTTTTTTGAACCTTTTGGAATTCCATTACACATTGTACACAGAAACACCAACAAACAGCCTTCTGACAGAGATGGGCACAATAATGTCAAACTCACTGCTTAGAAAACGTTCCGATGACTGACTATTGGAGGTTTATTTTTAATTAATTTTGAAGAAAAGATTGTAAACCATTCAGACTGGGTGTGAAGTGCGATTACTCTCTGTTTGTCAATTTCCCAACCGCATTTATTCCTTGGCTCATTAATACGTGCTGTGTGGAAACGCTGATCGCCTTGATGTAATTGGGAGCACATTTATTAGACGGAAATTCGTTATGATTAATTTCATTGGACATTGTGCTTCCAAAACATTAGAATTGAACTATCTCTGCTTGGTCAGGTAACTTCTGTCAATTTTGCTGCGAGTTATTATCCACATGAGAGGAGGACATGGGCTAAGAATTGCACTTCGGAGAAGTGTCGTGAATTTAAAACAGGAGACGCTGGTGAGACCGGTAAGGAATTGTATTAAGGCGTTGATTTCTCTTCAGGAACATCTGGAAATGGTATTGAACATGCAACCGAGCCTTTTATTTTTGCTGGGTTTTATGGGCTTCAACAGATTCTATGTAAAAAGGGAACACAACAGTTTTGTTAGGTACAGCAATGTCTAGTGACTGCTCTAACTGTAGACAGTGTGACCGGTGTTGGTGTTAGAGATATCAGGCCCTTACGCTTATTAACGCATAGAATTATATAGAATCTGCAGGATCATGTCAGTGTTTATCCCCCACTCCCACACACACATACATACACTTCTGTTCCCTTCTCCTTCATGTATACAAAGTGCATGGATGTGCTAGATTTTATTTTACCCATAAAATGTAATAAATAGCAGTCAGTGTTGAATTTCATTGCCATGAGCCCATTCTGACATATTAATTCAGGGTCTGTGCATTTCTCATTGCGTCTTCTATTTGTTCCACATTCGGTCAATAACCTTAAA